TCCGAAAAGTTACTTGTGCAATCGTCGAACAGCCCAAAATACAGCCAACGCTTCTTTTTGAGTCTGTGAGCATCCCTTTTCTGCCGCATTGAGTAGACGTGAAATGCAGATCACTGGGCATCCCTCTTGCTCTAATACGGCATTAATTCCGAAGTCAGACGCATAAGTGCTGAGCTTAGTAGGTTTTGACGTTGAAGATATCCTCACACTCCAACGACCATTCCCAAGCGTCTGAACACTGAGCACGGAACAGCGGCTGCGCCCTTGTAGCAAAGTTCGGGATAAATCGGGAATAGTACTGTAGGCATCCCATCACGCATCTCAAATGCGTTTGATCTTTTGGAGATTCGATGTTAGTCAATGGTTTGGAACATGTCGGACCGGGACGGTATCCACGGAAACCAAATGAAAATCCTAGAAACCCCAAATCAAGTACACCAAATACTCATTTGGACTGCTTGATAGCCACGTGCTTGAAGTTGAATCTTTCCAGTAGTTCCGTAAGACGGCTATCGTGTTCCTTCTTATTCAGGCCCAAAATGAGGACGCCATCTTGATGTGTGTTATGTTCTGAATACGAGATGACAACAGCCGGTAGTTGCTCAAGAGAGAGAAGACTGAGAACCGGAGATGTAAGGCTTTATTCGTCCAACAACTCTGGCATGTAGACTGGAACGCATAATAGAGAAATGTAATGAATACACCAATATGCAATAGACAGAGGGTGTGATATACGAAAATATGCAAGCACACCGCCGAGTCTTCTGACTATACTGCCTATTGCCGATTGAAGGAGATCAGACGACACATACAACCCGAGCGGGAGAAAATTATACTGGTACATTCCTCACGGCGTGTTGATTGTTGTTACGTAGCGGGTTTCGAAATCGACTGGAATGTGTAGGTATGTGTCCGCCAAATCGATCTTGGAAAAATACTGGCAACCATGCAATGACTTAACCTTGAATGTCAGATGTCGAAACCTGGCGCGTGGTTCGACTTTTGGAATGGAGCGTTTCGCCATCGAATTAGGTCGACAATAAGCGGAAGAAACGCTCGACAGTCCAATTTCCTTTTGGAACATTAGTGGAGGCGCAATTTATACCGGACCGTCCGCACTGGAGATCNCTCTGCATCTGGGAGCCACAACCGAGTGGAATCCGGATGACAGGAACTCCCTTCCAGGTGAGCGACTAGGCTACAACATTTACTGCCGAGAGTACTACCCAGAGTTACTTGACCATATATTTTGTCGCTTTTGTGTAGGGTTTTCATGTTTACACACCCCTTTTACCGGACATAATCTTGAAGCGTATCTAGATAAGTGCCATTGTAGTTCAGAGCAATCCTCCTAAAGTAGCTACACGAGCCGAACATGTCAATAAACCCTAACCGTGAGCAAGTAAAAGGTGTTCTCTCGAGGTTGTTGAGGGTATGTTTTGATCTGTGCCAGGAATAGTTCCACCAACGGTGCAGCAAACTAACGCCCAAGGCAGTTGAACACTAAGCTGTCCACAAGTTTCTGAAATGGGTTTGTCCTAACTGCACCAGCTCTATCGGAATATCCAGGGGGGAAATACTGACACCGAAAGGGAACCCTTCTTCACAGCTGGCAGCACCAGCACCTCAGTGTAACTCGACCCCAGGTAGTCAGATCAACAGAAGTAGTCCCGAGCTAGGGACTTCAATGCCCAGGAATGGGAACCAGTCTCTAATCAAAGCCCCTAGAGTAGATAATGACAGGGAATGGATATTAGTGAAGAAGCCTGAGCGTGGTGACCATCCAACAACGTCAGTGGCACCCCTAGTGATATAGATAAAAACTAAAGCTAAGGCACGCATTGTCAAATCGTCAACCGCAGGGCTTAGCGTGCCGGCAGCCGTAAAACAGCAGGGATGTAGCAAGACTACCCATTGTCACCCACCACCAAGGAAAGGGACACTTGATTTGCGCATGGGCGCTCACGATGAGGCCATTGCGAAGATATCCGAACTCTTCACCAGCCCGAGGAACTCCCTGCATAGGCTGCAGACTCACACTAACACAGCCCTGGGAAGAAACCGCAATGTTGTTATCAGGGGAATCCCAGCGCCGTTCTGTAGAGAAACGCACAGCCACAGGCAAGCGCTCCTACACCAAGTTAGAAACATAATCCGGCTCGCTCAGATCCCTTCAGAGGTGCAGACAAAGCGAGCGCTGCGACTTTGGAAGTGGCAGGGCGATCAACGAGCACCTAGTGCCTTACCACCCAAGCCAACTCTTGTCGAGCTTTATAACCCGAGGCACCGGGACTTGATGCTGGCAGCTTCCGCCAATGTGAGGAAGTTGACCAAAGAACGAGTAACCATAGAGCCGGACTACCTCCAAGACCACAACACAACGACCTCACATAGCTGCAGGCAGGAATTAAGCATTAAGCTCCTGTCCGTCAACGTGCCGAGAGTAGGGCACGAGAATCCGCGCAGGAAAACGACCCCTGCTTCCAAGTCTCATCCGATGGATGAATCTATAGGGCACGAAACCACAATATGGCGGAGGATCCACAGGGAAAGGGGTAAATGGTAAAAAGTAAAAGGGCGCAGGCTCTCAGTGTTCACTGTACTAAAGCCTGCAGCCTAATGACCAAGTGGGTGGAGCTCCGAGCTGAGGCTGGACAAACGCACTACCTCACCATAACAGAGACTTGGCTCAGGTCTGAATTTTGTATCGCGGGATTCTGTCCACCAGGATTTCAGACTTATCGCTACGGTCGTCCAGGAGATAGGTTGGTGGATGGGTGGTGCTCTACCGCTTGTGGGGGACCACGTTCCTCAGACGGCCTTAGATAGCTTGTGCATGGAGAACATTCAGGCTGCCGGGTGCGTAGTCAAGCTCACAAAAGTAAGATTATCAGTCCTGTGTATTTATCGTAGCCCAAGCGCAGGCATCGAAGAAAATGATTTTGTCCGGCACACGACAACTTGGGCAAGTAGGGCTCTTGTCTCAGGGGATTTCAATGCACCTGAGATCAAATGGGAGATGGAGTTTTTCGCCAGTGGGCAGCTTCGGGAATGAGCTACTAGGGAGGATGCATGATGTAACGCTCACCAAATAAGTCACCAATCCCAATGGACTTCGTATGAGTAGCTCTCCTAGTACCTTAGATCTTGTGTTTACCAAAAACAGAAATGACATCGGGAACACTGCTATAGGTACACCGCTAGGCAGGGGTGACCGCGCTAGTACCCTGTGCCAGTACGGCTTTGCTATTCCTCCTCTCAAGTTAACTTGCGCCGACGTTATGGCCCAATATGGGTACGTCCTCTCTGAGTCGACTGCAAGGGAAGCAGAAAGCTGTATCAAAGAGAAGGACGACACCCCGCCACGACACCCCCGCCACGACAAACTCCTCAATGACCCTCGCCTTTCGTAGTGTACACAAGAAGAATGAGGGCGTCCTGCAACCCATTCCTCAGCCGGCAGGATCCACGCTGATTGAGGAAATCATTTCCCTACTAGAGGAGGTGGAAAAGACCCTGGACAGTTTGGATAGGGGAAAGGCAGCGAGACCGGATGAAATCCACCCGGCACTACTAAGCCTCTAGGAAGTATCCTGGCACTCCCCTTAGCTCGCTTCTTCAATCAGTCAATGACCACAGTCACATTGCCACAGGAATGAAAAGTAGCTACTGTGGCCCCCATCCACAAAGGTGGCGACAATGAGCTGGCCACCAACTATAGACCCGTCAGCTTACTCTCCGTGATCCCGAAGGTCATAGGAAGATTAATCAGGGACAAGATGGCCACCTACCTCACCCAATGTGGCCTACTGGTAGACAATTAGCACGTGTTCCGTAAAGTCCGATCTTGCCTTACCAATCTGCTAGCCCTCCTGGACGTAGTGATTGAACGGCTGGACAGGGGTTGGGAGTCTGCTATCTAGACTTCATTAAGGTCTTTGATTCATCAACCACCGGCTGCTGCTAGGCAAGCTAGGATCAATGGGGATCCACCCTAGTTTGGTCAGGCGGACTGAGAGCTACCTCACAAAGATGACCTTTCGCGTTAGTGTGGAGGGGGGTTTGTCGGACTACGGGCATGCATAGACCATGCATACAGTCCCGCTCTACATGGCCTTCGTTCGGCCTCACCGAGAATACTGTATACAAGCTTGGTCCCCAGATCTGAAGAAGGACCAAAAGTTCTTGAGAGGATGCAGAAGAGGTTCAAGCGCATGTTCCCACACCTTCGGAGAGCGAAATATGCCGAACACCTTCAGGGGCTGATTCTGTTCTCACTCAGTCGGAGAAGGTTGAAGGGGGACATGATTGAATCCTTACGTATCTTGACGGGTTTCCTTCATGGAATCTCCCACCAACTTTAGCGTAACGACGTCCCCAACAGAAGGGGGCACAGCATGAAGTTAGACAAACTTCCGGCACTCGAACGCCTAAGAACCACCTTTTTCCCATCGGGTAATTAAAACATAGAATGAACTGCCTCAGGAGGAAGTGGCACCAAAAATCATTGCCCAGATCAAGCTGAAGCTTGACGCATCCTGGGCATCAACGTTCCTCGATTATATCTGACACCGGGCCTGAGGTCACTAATAGCTGGTCCGTCTTCGTCCCTCCTCTCTAGATTGATCTCTTAAATCTTAAGATACTTCACCTTGATGTCTCCAACTCCCTCAACTTCAGTTTTATTCTCTGGTCCCCACACATTTTGCTGAAACTTCTCAATATCTAACATCGTCACTTATAGGTTATGTTTCTTTTCCACAACACATCTTTTACTCTGGGTAGCTCGGAGCAGTTGATTGCGAGCTGTTTCTTTGATCCTGACAAAACCGTAGACGTGTACTGTCACTTCGAGGTATCATCAGAAGTGAGGTTTCCTTTTCCAGAAACGCACTCACCCACGTCCACGTGAACGAAATAAAACAATTGTCGCTGTGCCGTGGTGCTCCGTGTTGCGCCTATTGGTGCAAGAAACTGGATGGTTCTGGCTTCGCCGCAAGTCATGTGACCTGTCCTTTACTGTCCTTCATGGAAATCTCTGATTCCATGGTGGACGCCGCACATCTCCGCAATCGATGACTCAACGTCAGTCGATAGTCTCTACAGATGCGTGGTGTCCTACCATCACTTTTCATCGCCACGACAATCAGGGCCTCCCAGGCACTGGATTCATCTTTACTTATCACACCATCCTGTTCCATTTTCTGTAACGCTTTCGGGACACCTTCCCGTTGACCGTAAGGGAGAACGCGTCGTTTTAGGAAAACAGGGTCACCGTTCACTTCCAGATTTACCGTCGCTGCCTTCATGCCGGAACATTGTGCAATCAAATGTTAAAAATTTGGGTTGATTGACTTATCGTTGTTGGAATGCAGTGTGACTGATCCTTGTAGTAGCCAAATTGCTCGCAAGCCCATAATGGGTGAACTGTGGGCTGATACCAGGAATCGGATTGGGATTGATACGCCGGATTCAGATTGAACACGCAACATCGTTTCACCAAGTAATTACAATTGATGGCCGGTAACCCTATGAATGCCCACAGAAGTCGGGGCTAGAACAGCATTGGGACAAATCGCAGTGAGTGTTGATTTCGGTAGGATAAATTCGCTGCTTTCGGTGTCCATGACGAATCGATGCTCCATACCAGACTCGAACCTCAGTGGGGCGAACACGAGCAAGCTATTGAGTTCAGTGGTCTGCAGCGCATCGATTGGGCTTGAATTCTTATCTGCCGTTGGAAAATGGGAATCGACGAGGTTGCACCTTGGCATTCGGCCCACCTTACCACATGCATGGCAAGCGGTATTGCGGAACCGATAAGTCGAACGAAGATGGTATTCACCAAATGAAAAGCAGCAGTTGGTCGCAGCCTTTGGTTGTGTTCGGCTTGAAATGGGTAACTGAGGAATCAGGGGTGAATTATGAACACTGGATGCATCACGAAAAGGTTTCGTTTATTACCGATGGAATAAAACAGGAGTATCCGCATTGGTAGCATGTAATGGGAATGGAGATAGTAGTAGTGAAGCTACGCACAGAATTCAGGACACGAACTACGCAATCGGAATCACGGA